CACTGGCCTCTCCTCAGCACCTGCTGCAAGGCTGCCTGGCAGCCATAACACAGCTCAGCTTGGGCAAAGCCTCCCAATGCCCCTTGGCCAGGAGCAGCTCACAGAGCTTGCCAGAAGCTGCTAGATCAGTTAGGGCTTGCTAGAAGCAGCCACAGCCTCTCGTAGCTATCCCTTCCCAAGAGCAGCACCAGACTCACTGATGTTTGCTCAGAAGGTTCCCAGGAGTCCCCCAGCAATCCCAGAAAAAGCTTCTAGAACAAGCCTCTGATCGAGGCTGTAGACCCCAGCATGAGGAAAGTGTGGGTGGGACCATCCCCAGGGAGAGGTGGGGTGGGGTGGAGCCGGCCCCAGTGGGTGTGTCAGGGAGGAGCAGAGGGTCTAGCCCTATATGGAGGTGCCCCGGGGGGGTTGTGGGTTGTTGCTGGCTGCTCTGCTGCCTCCCAGGATGGCTGGTCTAAGGGTGGACTTTGGTGTGCTCCTGGAGCCTCTGGGCTTCATTAAGGTCCTCGAATGGGTGAGTAGAGCTGGGAAGGTCTCATTCTCCTCATGGAGCTGTTTCTTCTCCTTCCCCAGCCCTGGCGTTGTTCCTAACTGGGTATTTCTGCTTCCTGCCTCCTGTCGCTGGTGGTGGATGTTCAATGCAAGGCTGCTCTTAGGCCAGGGCCTCTGGCTGAGAGGGAAGAAAACAGCTCTGCAGGCGTGTAAAATCTATGTGTTAAGTACAAGTTTGTCGCAGTAACTGTGCTGCTGTGTGTGCTGATTATCAGGGGTTTAGGGTTTTGTCTAGCAAACAAAGAAAAGCAAGAGCTACTTAGAGAGCCCAGCTGATGTGCAATGCTCTGAGCATGTACCTTCTGGCTACTCTAATCTCCAGCTCTGAATGTCAGAGACACCTAAAAACACTTTCCTTACCAACTGCAAGAGATACTGTGCTGGCTTTTAGCATTCAAAATCAAACAATATTTTTTTTTCTGTACATCTAAGAAAAATATAAGCAAAAAGAACTTCCAAATTGGCTTTTGTTAGCAGTGTTGCTAATGTTTTTGGATTTTAGAAACCCGGTACTTCTTCTTGACATCCCTTTATACTTTCCCATTTCTAACCTGATACCTGTTTCTTGCTTTTATCAGCTGTTTAAGCTAAAAGGTTGATTTTGTTTTCTCTGAGCTCTAGTGATGCATACTAATATGTCTGTGTATCAATTCCTATAGATTTTTTCCATCTTTGCTTTTGCCACATGTGGAGGCTTTCGAGGTGAAACTACCGTTCTAGTTTCCTGCAAAGGTGTGGTAAACAAAACAGTTACAGCTGCCTTTGCTTACCCATTTGCGTAAGTATTAGCTCTTTAACTGTAACTAATTCTTTTGTAATCACTTTTTCCCCGTCTGTGTCCCTATCAATATGTCCTTACTGTATGTATCTGAATTAACATGTGAAACTTCTGGCTTGCTCTACAGCAGTTAAAAAGTAAAATTCAGTTGTAATTTTTCAAAGTATTATGGTTGTCAGTGCCGTATAGAAAGAAGTAGGTAGAACTGGCAACAGGCTGTATTGTTGCTTTGCATCACTCCACCTTAAGCTGTGTGAATGCCACAGAAGGTGATTAATAAGCAGAACGATGCAATTAATCTTAGCAGTCTATTTTTTCATCAGTTTGTAGTTGCTTTGGAGACATAGATAAGATTATTTTGGATGTGTCATCACAATATTTTTGTTTAAAGAATGAGTGGAAAATACTTACTGTTCAGTTCATTTCACTGTGATCTTGGTGAGGGTGTTGGGTATATGAAAGCTAAATACTCCACTGTCACTGTAATGCCATGTTAGAGACAAGCCCCTTTCCTGGGGCAGGAGGAGGAAGGCTTCCTCTTTGTTCTCGTGGCCACACAGTTAAAACAAGCACAGAGGTTGTGTTCCATGTATGTTCAATAAGCATAGGTGTAAGTATAGAAATGGATTCAGAGGCTAGCTAGTAAAACTACTATGGAAGTATAGAATTTGGTCACAAAACTCAGCATTGTAACTGCTTGGAGGGGAGAGTGGGAATCTGAAGTGATCACAGGTTTTGTTGAACTTCCTATGCTTGAAGTTTCAGTGCTTGCGTTTTCTTATAGCTGAAATGCAACTTGATGCCTTTTAAGTACTGATCCCCTTGTTTAAATGCCAGTCTCCAAAATAGCATTAAGTCTAAAATGGTTTAGTTAAATCTCTCCCAAACCAGGATTTTTCATCAATTGCTCTAAACATAAGATTAAGATTTTTTTGCCTGGAGCTGCTATTGCATATCTCAATTTAGGATGTCAAACAATGTTCAGATATCTTGATAAACCTTTATGTTGTGTAATTGATAAATTACACAAATAAAATTGTCTTTCAGAGTAAACTCGCACAACCAGAATGCTGAGACACTGTAACTGTGATGTATGTCACAGCAGAGCAAAATCCAACTACATGAAAGATCTAATCTTTGCAGGTTGAATACTGTTGTATTTAGTGCACCAGACCCAAGACGCTGTGGTGGTACCTGGATGGATGTCTATCTTGTGGGCAACTTCTCCTGTTCTGCGCAGTTCTTTGTTACGCTGGCAGTGCTGGTATTCCTCTACTGCATTGCTGCCCTTGTGGTGTATATTGGATACAAGCACGTGTATCAGCAAAAAAGCAAGTTTCCACTAATTGTAAGTAATACTAAGATAATTTCATGTTTTGCCTTTGAAACCGCAAAGAAATGATAAATACTGCTAACACAAGAATATCTGAGTAACACGGGAGTATTCAGTGGTTCTAAAAGCTAGCTGGAGCATGAACACCAGTCTGTCGGAATAGTTGCTATAGCACCCTGGCAGAAAACAGGACCTAAAGTCCTTGAACATCCATGGCATCATACCTTATGCGGTTATTGAAGCAATTAAGACACTGTTCATCTGAGAACTTTGACTCTACTAGAGGTTTTCTTTTGTATCATGTATTTCAATATACAATTCCACAGGTGGAACCTCCTCTGATAGTTTCTGTCAATTTTCCCTGTGTAGAGCACCTGCTGTACAGATGCAACTGGTGGAAAGACATTTTCTTTTGAATTTAGTCACTTTAAACACCAAATCATTGATCCTTAGAATGAGACATTCCAGAGCATGCCCAGAAACAGACCTAGCAACCTTTTAAGCCAAATTTTAGCATATCAGCCATCCAGATTTAAATCCTCTGCACTGGCTCCTCTTCCATCCCCACTTCACTAAACTTTTGACTTCAATTTTTGTAAGTGCTAGGCATCTGATTTTAGAAAGTAAGATCTTACCAAGGATGAGAATGCTTAAGCTTGACAGATGCAAAAGGCATACAGTTTTGTAGCTGATTATCAACAAATATAACTTGTGATGTAGTTGCAATATTGTTAATGGCTAAATTTCCTTGTAATTACTAGCACTGATGCCATTATTTTGGTGATATAATGGATATTGTCAATGCTTTACTTGCATGTGCACTTGCACAATTTTTTTTTAACCTACTAATGAGTACTCCTTTTCCATAGGACTTGGCTGTCACCTCCATAACAGCCTTTCTGTGGGTGGTTAGTACTTTTGCTTGGACAAAGGCAGTTTCTGACATTAGAGTGTCAACAGGGGCCAGCCTTATTTCGGGAATTCAGTCTTGCAAATTACCAACGACGACTTGTCGTTTTGTTTCTGTGACCGGCATGGGAACTCTGAATGTGTCTGCGGTATGTATGTTTCCCGCCTTATGGGTATAATAAATGTGTTAGTCAGTGATACCCGAGAGCCCAGTTCTGCTGATTGCATGTGTTGCTTTAAGTGTTAAGATTGCTTTAGGGGTTGTCAGTCATTCAGGCTCAGTAATACTGTGGTAGAACAATGAGCAAACTTTTTTCTTTAAAAGGAAACTAGTTTCCTCAAAGAAATTAAGAGAAACAACTTGTAAGATCTGTCTCTAGAGCTGTTAAGTGCAGTATTTCCAGACGGGCTCGAGTCTGTTAATTCTGTCTGTAGCCAACCTTAAAATGTTACTGAGCCATCCAGGTAGTTCACTGCTGATACAAGTAAGGAGGAAGCGCTATGCTTCCTGCTTTGCCTTTTGGTGTTGAACCTTGCTTTTTAATCAGCTCTGAGAATTTTTACATATTAAATAGAGGTTCATTGTAATGCAGTGATATAAAGCTCATGTTCATAGAAGAAACTCTTCACAGCAGGGTGAATGAGGCCTATTGTATGGCCTTCCTAGTGAATCCTGCTTTTCAAGACTCCAGCTGTTATTCATTGGCCCAGTAATAATTAACCATATGCTCTGGATGGGCATGCACAGAGGTACTGAGTGATGGAGAAGAATTTGTCTTATTTCGTGCAAGGGACAGAGTAAATTGACTATCTGGTTTCCAAAGAAGTCTGTTACAATAGCTTATAATACTCTAAATATGTGGAAGTGTTTTACCCAAACCAAGGGAGTGCCAAAGATAGCAGTTGCTTTTGGCTTGCCTTTAAGTATTTTTTTTTTTCTAAAAAAGAGAGATTAAGGAGTGTTTCTGTGTGTTTTTGCTTTTGTTTTCTTAACCTACAGCTGTCTGGCTTGCTTAATATGGTTTTATGGGGAGGAAATATTTGGTTCGTATACAAGGACACCGACCTGTACATCCGATCAAAGAGAATTTCTCCAGGAACATATTTGGCTCAAACAGACATATAAAAACAAGGTGATACTTTGAAGTGCTTCCACTTTTTCATCACACTGCCAAGAGCACAGAGCCATTAGGATTCATTTCAATAATAACTGATAATACTTTGTACAGGCTTCTGTTTAATACTATGGTTTGCATGAGGTTCTGGATACTCGAATGGAAGTGTTTTGTTATTTTGAAATGCATTATGCCTTTTAAAATTGTGCAGTTCTTGAAGAGCAAGATGTTGAGCTTATCTGGGTGCTTAAATTAGCCTAATTGGAGGGATGGATGAAAAGTGACTGCATGTGCGTTTTAACTGTAACTTCCTTAGTTGTAACACGCTTTGGCTGAAAAATGAAACGTAGATGCAACTAGGGCATGTGAAAATGCAGTTCAGCTTCTTCCTATCACTACCTTGCAAAAGCCACCTGAGTGAAGCTCATAGCTCTGTCAGAGTCGCAGCCCTCACATGTTGGTTTCCAGATACTCCATTCAGATTACCGTATCAAATCTGCTGACAGACCTGTCTAGAAAGACATTACTACTGTGTTTAATATGTTGTTACTGATTAATGGCTCAGGACAATATCTGAACAGGAAGATAGCTTATAGTTTTACTATAAACTCACTTAATAAAGATGAGAGAATATAGATGTGTACAATAGATGACTTAAACACTTTAAGGAAAAAAAATTACAGCCCCAAACTGTCCACAAATACTGTAGAAACCAAAGCTGATGTATTCCAACTGCTAATGTCTGGGCATCTGTAAATTTGTTGAGGTGCATGAACTATGCTTGTGTGTGAAAGGACGTAACTGAAGATGTTTGCATATGACTCGATGTTCAGCTTATTGGAGCAGTATTTGGTGGACTTGTTTACTATGATATCTGGCTCTCTGGATTGCTCTGAAAATGTTTGTTCTGACAAATCTAGTAAGTGATTGTTCAGGTTGGTATTTTTTTTTAATTTAAACCGTTTAGGGTAAAAATGGACATAATAGTGTGCATATAATGACCTTGATTGTTCAGTGTCCCAGAGCTACTGACTTTCTGATAGCAAACTTCCAACTGAAAAAGCATAATAAAGTGTGACTGTTGCTGAAAGAATGTGCCTTGAGTCCTTACTGTTGTAACAGTGATGCAACTGTATTAGCTTTGTACCTAATGGACATGACTAGCTATTGCTGACCTTGCTAGCTGAATGAGTTATCTATGCTACAGAAGGGCTTTTACACTGATGCCTTGAGTTTTCTTGTAGAGAGGACTGTATCGCTCCTTCAGACTAAAGCTGCCTGGTGCTGCCCAGCACTTTTCTCTGTCAGCTTGTGGTGGGGACAGAGAGGGGGAGGTGACTGTGGTCCTTACTGCTTCCAAAGGGAAGTTAAAATTAAATTTTGGACAGTTATAACACATATACAATGTTGAGACATTATTTTCTAAAAGGATGCTTTTCTGTTTATTCTCTGTTCCAGGATAAGGGATTTGATAAGCAATGAGCTTCTATAACTGTGTTACCTCCATAAGAAAACAGACTTGTCTTTCCTCCTTGGCCACTCAAGTACCAAATATTATCCCGCCTTACACAGGCCTCTCTACAGGGAAGATAAAAGCAATTATAGAATCATAGGATGGCCTAGGCTGGAAGG